TGTATGGATGCCAAGGGAACAGAAGACAAGAATTACAGCTATCAGTACCTAGAAAGGCTGAAGTATGGACTGACTTTTTTTTACAAAAAAAACATGTCAGAGCACAATTTCATCTTGGAGAGATCCTGTCCAAATCTCCCCTCTTTTCAGAGTATTCTTAAGCATCTTTTTCTTACTTTCCAAATCCCATTCTTACCACGCTCACACCTGTGCTTTTCCCCTCCCACTCTCCTCACAATATTTTTAGATCCAGTTTAGTCTGAAGTAAATCCTGTTGCTTCTCCTATTTTTCAGCTATTCAGTGTTTTTCACACTACCTCCCTCTAGACTGTCTAAAACACAGGTAAGGTACTTTTCTCTTAGGAATTGAGAAAAGGAAAGGCAATGAACGGGTTGAAACAGTAAACGAGAGAGAGTTTCAACAGCCAAGAAAGTAAGATTGTGAGACAGAGGACAGAATAGTTGAAGATGAAGCAGTGTCTCTTCAGTCTTTCTCTCCCCAGCTTCCTATAGCTCAAATCATCTCTCCTATTTCATAGTAGCCCGACATCCTACTGGGGAATATTTCCAGTTTCTTATTAGCATTCTTGAGAAACCTAAGGCAAACCTTGCAGCAAAACTTGTCTGTGTAAAAAAACACAGCAGCAGAGGCTTTTAGCCAGCTTGAGAGAGAGATGTAAGGGTCCTCCTGCCTACACCCAGCCACTCCAGTCTCAGAGTGCACAAAACTTGAGCTTCAGAGGACAGAGGTAAGGGAAACACTGCTGCAAACACAACACTCTCCAGTTATAAACATTCCTTCTTTTCATGCTGCTTCAGCTGTTAAATTTTCATCTCTCTGCAGATGCTGAAAAACACCCACAAATTAGAGACTGCCATACCTCAAATGAAACTAACATAGAGTGGAACATTTTTACAAGTGAAATGAATAGCTAGAGTCTGTGCAAACACTGATCTTCAGATAGGATAACATCATAAACACTGGGAACTAAAATTAATGGTTGAATGATAGCAGCACTATGCTCCCAAGAATAATAATCAGATATAGATGTTTAACTGTCTGTAACTGAGGACTTCTGTATCTTGTTATAACTCACCTCCCTACAGAGTACATGTCTCTCTCTAAATATAAATATTTGAAATTATGATTCATGTGTATTTGAGTATGGTAAAATGAGCAGGAATTTTAAAGGTTTGATTTTTAAAAAAATTGTATGACTGAAAAGGATCATCTAATCCTAAAAACAAAGAAGCCTCTTTGCACCATTATGTTTGCTGTTTGGGCACTGTTACGTAGTGTTTTGAATAGCAAGAATTATCTCTGAAAAGTCAGTAATTCCAAAATGTTTTACTTTAGAAGAGTTAATTTTTTAACTGGTTCATGCACTAGCAGTGCTAAATAAATGCAAAAACATATTCGGGAATCACTAGTTTTGTTTTCTCCTTTCTGACTGTCACCTCTGTTACAGAGAAACAGTTTGTACACATACTGTTTGTAAAAGGGAAATTTTTAAAGGGAGTAAAATACCAAACTAGAGTACCTTCTGTTGGTCATTACTCTTTTTTTTTAGAAATAAAAGACCCTAAATGCACCAAAAAGAAAGTTACAAATTCTTTGTAATAAATCTCAAATAAGGAGTATAAGAACAAAGAGCTGACAACACTACTGTACATCTCACTAGATAATGATGTTTGTTTAACAGACTTGTAAGTTTTATTTTTCCTTCAGGTAATTTTTATTTTTAGAGGTAGCTTGATAAAGTAGCTAATTCCTAAGATTTCTTAGTAGCGTGTACTGTATAACACACATTACTTGTGATCTTGAGTGATGTATAAAGGATACTGATTTATTCCATATTCTTTTTATCAATTTAAACAGAACTAACTGGCCTTTGTTAAAGTGCCGGTCTTGGCTTTGAACATGGTAATTTCTGTACCTTACTACATCAGATTCCTAATCTGTTACACAGGAATAGTAATGGCCACATCACACTATTGTGAATGTAAATATTATGATGTGATGCTCTCACCTACTGCAGCAAAGAAAAATAAAATGGGCAGTGCTTTATAAAGGACAAACAGGAGAGTTCATACATGTCAAAGGACCGTGACCTTAGGGCCTTAATTTCTGAGTGTTTTTTTAAGATACAAATAGTATTTACTGTTCTAAAAATTTTCCCTTTAAGGCAATTTAGAATTGTGTCACTTTTTTCTCTTTAGGAAAGCTGTTCTCAGTTTAGTGAATTCTACTCCGAAGTTACATTTAAATGAAGTTATCTCTAGGAGAAACTACTAGAGGTATGAAACATAAAACACAAAACAGTGACATGCGTGCTTGTGGATGACCAGTGCACACAACGGCGTTATGAAGACCATTCCACTGGTTTCAGTAGGAAGCAGATTGGATTCCATGAGCCCAATAATTTGAATCAGTGAAATAATACATTTTTCTTCATCAATAGCCTGTTTCTTCTAGGTATGGGGAGAACGCAAGACACTTAGGTCCTGAATGCAGTATCCTCTCTGAATGAAGTCACTGAAAAAAATGCAAATTAATAAAGTCACTGGGAAAAAAAAAATCAGTGTAGTCTTCTTCCTCACTTATGCTTTTGTTGGCTCTTTTCAGCCAGTGGAAAGTTTGGTATGCTGTGACATTACTTTCCCTATTACTTCATTTACTCTAGATTCTGAGAATACCTGCTCAGCTTTGCAAAAGCCATTTGGGATCTTTGGATATAAGACAAGGGATGAAACTTCACCTGTTCAATCAGTGGGACTATTGCCATTAACTGTGGCAAAGCATGGAGCTCATCCAAAGCAGCAAGAACAAAAATATCCTTCTATTTGCATCTTACTATCTTTTGTTGACCTTTTTGCCAAAATTTAGAGGATTACAGAGAAAAAAAAGGAAGAAATAATTTAAAATTATAGACATGGTTTTGGGGGTGTGGGGAGGTAAACAGGGCTAAAGGTGCAAGAAAGGAAACTCAGGTGCAAGGAAGAACAACTTCAGTATTACTAAAATAAAATGTAAAACCAACTTCATTTTCCATTACTGTGATTTTAAAAAGCAGCTATGGTTCTGAAAAGGTCATTTATCAAACACAGAATTGTAAAATATTTTTTGGGCACATCAGTAAATATATATGAAAGAGAAAAAAACCAAAAACATACTACAGTGACATTTGACATCACATACGAATACTAAAAAAAAAAATCCAAACACAACTCTGGATTAGTACATTCCGAAGATTCAAACACAGCAAAGCCATCTAAGAGATACTGTTGTAGCTTTATTGAAATGTATTTATGAGCATAGGAACTACTGGTGTCCTATTCTGAAAAGCTACAAAACAAGAAAAACTGAGAGCAGGCAAACTTTTTCTACAATGTGCTGAAGGTTACTAGAATAATTTATAAAAACAAATATACTACTGTCTTCAGAAATCACTGGACAACAACATAGTATGACGACAAACAAACCCTCGAAGTGTGTTAGAAACGGCAAATTCAGGCTACAGTTTTTCTGGTGTTTCATTCAGAAGGCAAAGTGATTTCTCTGTTTTTAAGAACTGTATATCTGTAAATGTTGATCTACAAAATATCACTGTTGTGCAACACAATATAATACAATATCAATAACTAACGGCACTTTCACCTTTTAGAATACAGGATTGATTCTAGTCTGTAGAATAAGCATCTGTGTAATGGAAACGTATGTTGATCTCTAGCTCTCGTTTTCTGTCACAGTCCAGAAAACTGAGGCGAAGACAAGGATTAAATAGGGCCACAGGAAAATCTAGTCACACGCTTCACTTAGGCACCTTGCGCCCTCATCTACGCAGCTTTGTCACAATGAACATCCATCCGTCCCACAGGTCCTGGCACTTTCGGCCGGCCCCGGCCGCGGGTCCCTGCGGGCCCTCGGGGCAGCCGCAGCGGATGGTGGCTCCGAGCGGGACTCAGCTCCCGGGGCTCGCCCGCAGAGAGCCTGCCCGAGAGGGCGGGTGACACTGGCCACAGCCCAGCGCAGCCGCCAGGATTCGCACCTGGGGTCCGTCTGTCGCGGGTGGGACCTCCATCTGAGAGAGCCGGCCCGGGATGCTGCTGATGCTGCTCGCCTTCCCACACCTCTCCCACTCGCACCCTCCCGACTCGGGTTTCCTATCCTGCCTTTCCGCCAGATCCAAGCGCAGGAGTTTCCCCCGGACAAGTGCAGCCACATGCGGCACCACCCCCTCCATCCCAGAGCTCCGCGTGGGGCCGGGGACGCGGCTGGGGCGGGACGGGCGCGGCGCTCCCGCTTTCCCAACCGCGCGCAACTTCGCGGGGCGGCGGCGGGCGGGCCCGGCCCAGCCCTGCCCTGCCCTGCCCTGCCCTGCCCGCCCCCCACGGCCGGGCCTCCCCCGGCCCTCCCGTGACCGCGGGGCCACCATGTGCATCTCCCACCCCGTGCCTTCCTCCCTCCCTCCTTCCCTCCCCTTCCCCACCGCCTGCGCAGGCAGGATGCGCGCGGCACCGCCATCCCCCGGCGGGAGCCCTGCGCGGTGCGGTGCGGCGGGGCGGGCACCCCGCTCCCCCGCCGCGGCCCAGCCCCAGCGGAACCGTGGAGACAAAGTTTGCAGCGGCAGCGGCGGTGCCCGTGCAGCGCGGGCCAGGCCAGGCGGGCGGCGGGCTCGGTGCATGCCTGGTGCGTGGATGAATCGCAGCAGGCGGCGGCGGGCGGGGGCGGGGGCCGCGGCCGGCGATTGGGCGGCGCGGCGCTCGGAAGCACTTTGTTTTCTATTCTAATGAGGGCGGAGCGGGGCTTGTGGATATTTACGTTGAGGCGGGAGCCGCCGCCCTTCATTCACCCACATGGTCCCCGAGCCCGGCCGCTGCTGCCGCCGGGACCTGCCTTCGCGCCACTTCCCTCCCCCCCCGCCCCGCCGGGGAACGGCGCGGAGCGGCTCCCCTCGACCGGGCCGGCCACGCCGCGCCGGGGCCGCGAGAGAAGGAGGAGGAGGGAAGATGGTGGCGGCGGCCGCTGGCTGGTGAGTGTCGCTGCCGCGCGCGTGTCGCTGACAGGAAACCTGTTGTGAGGCGGCGGCGGCCGCCCGGCGCGGGGGGCGAGCGCGGGGAGGCAGCGCGGCGGCGGCGGGGGGCGGGCGGGCGGCTCGGAGGCGGCGGCGACGGTAGCTGGTGGGGCCGCTGCGAGTGGCCGGGTCGGTAGGAGGGGGTGTGGGTGGGCGGCGGGGGGAGCCGGGAGAAGGGCGCATGGCGCGGCGCCTCCCGAGCTCGCACACGGGGCGGGAGGGGCTGGAATGAGGGAGATTTGAAAAAGCGTGCGCGCCGCTCGCCGCTGCAGTGAGTCCCGCCGCCCCCTTCCCGCCCCCCCCCCCCCCCCTCCTTCTCCCGCCGCGCTCCGGGCCCGGGGCGCCTCGCCGGGCCAGGGTGGCGCGGGGAGCGGCCGAGCCCCCGGGACGGGCAGGGCAGGGCGGCGTGCGCGGCACAATGGCAGCGGTGGCCGGGGGTGGGCGCGGGCGGGGGTTCTGCCCCCGCGGCCCGCGGGGGGAAGGCCCGTCCGGGAAAGTTTGCGCTGTGCCCGGTACGGCTGCGGGGGGGAGCTGGCGGCGCCAGAACAAAGCCGCACGTGGGGCAGAGGCCGCGGCGGCGGCGCGGGGGCTCCGCTCGCCGCCCACGCCCAGCTCGGGAACGGCAGCGGCGGTAAAAGAGGCGGCGGGCGGGGAGGGACGGGGGGGAGGGCGCGGGTCGGGGGGGGCTCTCGGGGAGTTCTCGGCGGAGGCGCTTTGTGCTCTGTCGCCCCCCGGGGGAGGGGGCGCGGGGCCCCGGGGAGGGGGCAGCGCCGCGGGCTCCGAGCGCGTCCCGGGCCCCTCCGCATGGGCTTTTGTTCGCAGGAGGGGCGGGGGCGGCGGGCCCCGTCTCTTCCCCCTCCCCCCCACACACAGTTTTCCGCCGAGGTGCGGGACCTCCCGCTTCTTCCGGACAGGCGGACGGGGAACAGCGGGCGCGCCCCGCGCCGCTGCTCGGGAGCCGCGAGCTTCATTACGAAATCGGCGCGGCGGCGGCAGCTGCGGGCCCTCGGCGGCGCCATGTTGCTGGGAAGGGGGAGGAGGCGGGGGACATGGCGGCGGCTGCGTGCTGAGGCCGATTGTTCCCTGTTAGGCCCGGAGCCGCGTGTGGGCAGCGGCGGCCCGGGGAGCCACTTCCCCTCACTCCGCCGCGGCCCCTTCTCGGTCCAGGCAGCCGCAGGGCGCGGGTGGGCCCGACCCTTTCGCGTCCGCCCTGGCTGCGGGGCTCGGCGGGGCCCGGGCGGGCGCGCGGGGGGGGCGTCACGCCGTAGCCGGGCTGTGACCTCCGCGCTGCTGGCGGCGGCGCCCCCTGGCGGCCGGCTCTGTGTTCTCGGCGAGCACGTGCTGCGCGGTGCGGGGAGCGGGCCCGGCCCCGGCAGCGGCCCCGGGCCCCCGGCGCGGCTCGGGCCCACGGCTCGCACCCGGCAGCGTGGGAGGGAGCCTGCCTAGGCGTAGGGGGGGGTTCCTTTACCGGGAAACAAGTGTGAGCCCGCGTGCGGTGTGTCGCACTGGGCGGTTCATGGCCGCCCGAGGGGGTACGGAGCGTTTCGCGCCCTCCCCAGAGGGGTGGAGTGGGGATGGGGTGCGCTGGGTTTGGGAAGTTCCTCGGGGACTTTGTTCACTCCTCAGCACCAAAAAGCGAGTAACTCGGTGTTTTTTTCGCAGTATTCAGACGTGCAGCTGGACGTAATGAAGCTTTCAGTGGATGTTGCAGCGGTGTGTCAGCAGAGGAAGTTAGTTTCACGAAATGATGGTAAGTTTTTATTTTTGATTTTTTTTAAGTATAGGGGCTGAAGTAGTTCTTTTGAGGCTCAGGCTTAAACTTCAGTTGGGACCACTAAATTTCACATAGTTTCTTGTGATTGGATGCATGTGTAGCAGTCCACAATTTCACTCATTTAGAGGAGAATAATGCAAGTTTCTCAAGCAAGCATTTGTTTGACTAAAGCAGTTGGACAGTGAAGGAGTTTTTTGGCTTGATATCTTGGATTTTTTCAACAAATTTTTTTTATTTTTTTTAGTCAGTCTAATAGAAGCTAGTTTTATTGAAGTTTTAAAATATTACGTTAATTGGCTCGTAAGTATCAGGTAAGGGAGACATTATGTTTACGTCTTACTTCAAGTCTATATTCGTATTAAAGAAGGAATAAAATATATTTTCAAATTTTGAGTATAATACTGTCCTGCATTACTGAACCTCAGGTCTGTTATAAGGTCCAATTTGGTTGTGGTAGTGTATTGTACAGCCATCATTAGAACCTGCTTTTTGTTGCTAGGTAGACCAATCTAAATGCCATGTAGGAATTGTAATTTGAGACAGGGTATCTGTGGCAGTAGCAGCAAATATTCTAACTGGACAGCAAAGCAAGTAATTGGAAAACTTACGAAGTTTTGCCATGTCATAAAGTGGTTTCTGGACTTCAGAAAGCTGATGATAGGAGATATTCAATCTAATTTTAAAATTCCTGGTTTTCTAGGATTGGGTATAAATTTTTTAATTAAAGCAATTTGGTGGGAGCTCTTAACCAAATTCAGGCTTGTCTTTAAAAAGTCAGTTTTTTAAACTCTTAGAGTTGTGGCATTCTGAAAATAGTGTGGGAGAAGCATTTATTTAATTTTCACATTTAGTTCTACTGTGAATCAGCACTGATTTTGATACTCCTTAGTATTGCATATTAGTGTCCTGGATTGGGCTGATGGGCCGCTTCAGTTTACTCTGAAGGAGGTCTTCAGCCCAGAAAGATGAATATTTGTTTCAAAGCTTGTAATTTGAAACCTGATCAAATACTCACTTTGTTCTTTTCTTTCAGCAGGTACAAGGTAGACAACATATCTTGAATTACTAAAAAAACGCTGTTTGCGTCAGAGTAATGTCAAAGTGCTTACAGTGCAGGTAGTGATATACAGAACCTACTGCAGTGAAGGCACTTGTAGCATTATGTTGACAACTGCCTCAGGAGATCTTGCAGGACTTCAGAGAATGGAAAGGTACAGTGTGGTGGTGTCAAGTGCTTTTTGTACTAAGGTGCATCTAGTGCAGATAGTGAAGTAGATTAGCATCTACTGCCCTAAGTGCTCCTTCTGGCATAAGAAGTTATGTCTTCATCCAGTCACTCAGGTTAAGACTGTAGATGTTCCAGTAGTTTTCTGCTTTGCAGACTTCTGTTAGTTTTGCATAGTTGCACTACAAGAAGAGAGTGGTTGTGCAAATCTATGCAAAGCTGATGGTGGCCTGTTACAATCTACATCAAGGACGTTGAATGCTTTCTACTGGTTATGGGATATTTTGTGGCCTTTCTTAATTTAACAGCAGTCTAGTGAATGACAGCTCTTGTAGCACTAAAGTGCTTATAGTGCAGGTAGTGTTCACTAATCTACTGCATTATAAGCACTTAAAGTACTGCTAGCTGTAGAACTACATATTAAATATGTCTTAAAATTTATTTGTTGTTTATTGAACACTGTTCTCTGGTTAGTTTTGCAGGTTTGCATCCAGCTGTATGATACTCTGCTGTGCAAATCCATGCAAAACTGACTGTGGCAGTGACAAGTCAGTCAGTGAGTGTGGAAAAATTATACCCCTTTCTACACAGGTTGGGATCAGTTGCAATGCTGTGTGTGTCTGTGGTATTGCACTTGTCCCGGCCTGTTGAGGTTGGTGGGGATAGAGGCTGAAACACCCTTGTAGATTTAAGGAATTTCTCCTTCACTGATCCATGAAACTTTAAATTTTTAAGGTGTTTTTTTTTTTTTAAATGTCATGTAATTTTTCTGTGTAACCAAAATTTGATTTTTCTGTATTTCACTTCTTGTTTGTATGTATTGGATTTGTTGCTGACAGTATGTATTAATTTAAAATCTTGAGTGTCAATTTTTTTTTTTTAAAGCGTCCTTTTTTTTTTCTATTAAACGGAGGTGGGTGCTTGTTTACAGTTTCTTCATGAATTTGTTGGGAAGAAATGCATCTTGAGTATTAAAAAATATGGATGAAAGTTCAGACTTGTTCACTGAAAGCTTGCTTTGCAAATTCAAATTGCATGAGGGATTCATCAGCTTCCTTTTGTAATGCTTCTCACTATATTGAAACTCTGCATTTTCTAAATGGTAATGGGGTGCATTTTTAGCCTTAGTTCTCCCATCTATAGTTTGTCAAATCGAAGAGTAACGAATGAGGTTGCGGGCAGAGCCTTAATCATTCATCACCTATGGAATCTTTAATATGTGTCCACTTACTGTGGAGTATCTATATTGATGAGTGTAACAGTGGTCAGCTTGTAAACTTCTTAGTGTATTATTTAGCATAGGACTCAATAGCAATGAAATAAGACATCTCTTGAGCTTCCTGAAGAACTTACCTGAAGGAAAACTCTTCCAAATAATTGCTTCAAAGTACCTGAGATTGGTTGTTGGGGAAAGATGTGGTAACTGCCTCTAAGGAAGAGTCACTGAAATCTGGAAGTGGAGCATTCAACACACTCACTGTTGAATGAGCTGCATAATAGAAAACTACACTTGTAGCTCAAACGTTAGTGGGTTTAGTTCTAAAACAGGCTTCCAGAGAACTAATGCTATAAATTCAAATTACTCACTTTGCTGCTTAAAGCCGCCCGGCCCTATATAGTATTTTAAAGTAGAGTTCCTTTTGTGGTGGGAATATATGGGTCAATGGTGCCCCTGCTCTTACTCAAATTCAAATGGTGTATGAAACTAAATGGGTCATTCCTAAAGAGTGTTGAACACTGGGTATTGCATGCTATCTTGCCCTATTACTCTGTCCTCTAGCAAGAAGTTGAAAATAAATACATACAGGGCTTTGGCATCCTTTTAAACTCCTTTCTGAAGTAACCAAGCCATGTTTTACTTACGCATGGTGCTCAGTTTGCTGTCTATCTATTCAGGAAGTATTGCTCAGCTTTCTTGCCTCAAATAGTCTTTTTCCTAAGCTTAAAATTTTCTTCTTAGTCTTGCTGGTTAGAGGAAGCTTGTGTCTGTGGAGTCAGCAGATGAGGTGTGTGTCTTGTCCTGATTTCTGGATGCTGAGTTTCTGCAGTAATCTGCTGGTGATGGCATGTTTAACTTTAAAGTGTAAAATGCAAGAAAGTTAAAATGCAGAAAATTCTTTAATACGTGATCATATTTATACCACCATCTAAGTATCAAGTTTTGAAATGCTTGAAAGATGTATGCTAGTTGGACAATGAAGCCTTTTAAAATGAAATGTTTGCACAAGCAGGTTTTATGCCAGTGTAGCCTTGTCTATCAAGTGTGTTGCAGCGTACATAGTTTTAATATCTTTATGTGAAAATGAAAACTGACATTTTTTTGTGTTCCCATCATAAATTCTTTTAATGCCTGGACTCCAAAAAGATACTTTTACGTGGTGCAGGTATGAGAAATTATGTGTAATTTACACAGCGTCTCCAAGATGTAGCAAGCTCTGCTTTAGTCAAGAAGCATGGCACTGCCTTTCTAAATGCTAATCTTACTTGCATGCTTTCAGTGCAACATTGGCTTATAGGTTGTAGTTCATCATATGCTCTTTTTGGGAAATACCTAATATTTAAATAGTCTGTTTATACTCCTGCACTTCAACTTAGTGTTCTTATTGATATGTAATAAGTAAATCTGGTCCTGTCTTATATTAAGTTTTATGTAAACTGGGCTTTTCCAGTCATTTGAATGTTTACTCATAAATAATCATCAGCTCTATAAATTGGTTTCAGTGTAGTTCAAACACTGAAGTAGTTGACAGGGGGCTGTAGGGAGAGAAGTAATGCTGCTAAGTTCGACTGGTTTTACTGAATTAAGTTGATCCTTGTCTCTGATGTTCATGTAGGAGATGTGACTAGAGAGGAGTGGTTAGATGGCTGAAACAAGTGCCAGTTTTAAAATCCTGCAGAAGTACCATGGGGCGTTTTCTGCAGATGTATTCAATTTTTCTATTTAAAAATGTCACATTATGGGAAGTGTATTTCTACTGGAGTTGATACAGGTATTCGTTTTTACAGTGAACTGAATTACTCTGAGCCATACGAACTTCCGGGAGATGGATCTAATGAAGATAAGCCTGCATGGATTCTTAGGAATTGTCGAAACTGGAGTCACTTTTTAAGTGTATTATGCGGAAAGAGGATAGCTTACACTGTCTTTCTAAACAAAACGTAAAAATCTCCAAGCAGTATTAATGCTTCCTGTAGTCCTAGTATAGCAGAGTTAGCTTTATAAAAAAAACCTTTTCTGTTAACCGTAGAAGATTCTGTGTACCTGAAAGCATGATGGGAAACGAAACATATTTTCACTAATTTGTCACTGGGTAATACTGAAAAAAACAGGTCAGTTCTTTAGAATTGACTGTCTTACGCTGACATTTGAATACCAAAATTGACTCGTGAGATGACTGTCAGGCACAGACATTTTGAGTTTGCTCATAGGCATTAAGTGAACAGGACTGGAAGGGAGTCCCTTGCTCTGGTGGCACAGAGTTGGATTCCTCTGGTGTAGCTGACTTTGTGCCATAGAAAAATCAATGCAATGCTCTATGTTCTGCAGTACGTTGCTCATGTTTGTGTAGTTCATAAGTGGTCTTTAGTACGAAGTCTTACTAAAGACTTTCTTTAAATCTGGGATTATTGAAATTTGTTTCCAAACTACTTTTCCCTAACGTCCGTCAATCATAGAATTCATTCCCTGAAGTCTCTTCTCTGTTTGGTTCTGGTAGCTTCATATGAATAGGCTAATAGCATTCAGTATATGAACAGAAGTGTCATGGATCCAGAATAGAAAGGAGGGGACTTCATCATGTGACTCTTCATAGAAGCCTTGCTATGAAATCTACAGTTTTCTGAAGAGCCAGTTTCTGATAATTTCCTTTCCTGTTTCCATTTATGGGTGATGTCCAGAAGAAAAGATGCTGGAGGAAAATGAAATTGTGGTATTAGAATTCTCCATTTACTACATCTATTCTGATGGGTATCTGCTGTGCATATGTCTCTTTTATCTGTGTAGCATCAGTCTTCAGTGATGTAGCAAGAGAAGTGTTGAAGCAGGTACCTGGTAATGGGGTATATGGGAATTGTCTGGAATCTGAGATTATGCACGCATTCTAACCCTGCCATTGTTGCATGCTGCAGGTTCTGAAACTCAGAATCCAGTTCGGAGCAAGACAAACAAAAAATATTGCGTACTTTCATTCCAATACAGTTAATACAAGACTCTTTAATACTACAGCCAGTTGGCTTCTTGGTGGGAGGACAACTGACTAGTAGGTAGAGACTGAGTTATGAAATGAAACTTATTCTGGACTTTTCACTGCTGTAAGGAACACAAAACTAACAAAGCCGTTTTAGCGTTTCATTCTTGCTTTTAAAAAATTTCACCTAGTTTGCCTTTTAAATGAATGAGCAATTCTGTGAATTTTGGGCTCAAGTGTTGGGGTTTTGGGTGTTGTTGGGATCAGGTGGTATGTTGGGGATTTATCCTTACACTTAACTTGCTAGGATGACATGACGTGTAATTCTAGTCTTAAATGCCTAAACATAGAATGCTTGATTAAAAATATTTAGTACTAAAAAATTATTTCAGGCTCTGAGAGTGAGTCAGGTTCTTCACATTGGAAACAAACTACAGGCAAAGCTGTAAATTCAAATAGTTGTGACTTAGGTAGCCTTTGGTGGCATTTTATGACTCAAGGAGATTAGCACTTGAAGGACTGATTCCTTCGAGCATTATGAATTTGTACGTGGTTCAGACATCCACTTTAGCTGAGGGAGGCAATCTCCTCAGTTAATTAAAGGAAAAAAATGGCTTTTACGTGTGGCCAACGTGCTTTGCATGGAACAATTTTTGCCATAAGTTTTATAAACAGCAAGGTGAGA